TTTTTTTAGTCTTCAATTAACCACAACATTGTATTTCTCATAATACCTATATAACTCAAGCATTTTATCAAGATTTTATCCTATATAAGGACGTTTTTTATTATAATCACAATAATAGACCACTTTGTCTCATCCATAGCTTTTGAATGATCTCTATTCTAGTAATCTCTACCTTGTAGTTTTTTACCCCCCACACTCAAGGATTTGATAAATAACACCTAAACCTATATAACTGGACCTGACCTAAAGTTTATTTGTGATTTTCAGTTTTAAACCAGGCGTTTCTAAATAAATTAATGCCTCAAATTCATCAGTCTCTAAACTTTATCACTTCCCATTTCATTTCAAACTTGAGTCATTATAATGGTTTCATGAATTATTTCCTTAATGTCACTTTTTCTCTCAACTTCTCTCCTATAAACAACTACCAGATTAATTTTTTTAAAGCAATGCTTTAGACATTACATTCTCTTGCCCCAAAACTTTCCATGACTTGTAATATCCACATTATTTAAGTCATACACCAGCAACTCTCAGCCTGTTCCTCTCCTATTGCATGTATCTCCCATTCCAGTCAAACTGTTTCGCTCTCACCCTTAGCTTTGTCCCTTCCTTGAAAAGACTTCCCCCTCCTTTCCCATTGGTAGCCTGCTCTTTAAGAACTAGTTTAAGTTTCATCTTCACCAAGCCTTTCCTCAAAAATTTTTGTACATATTTATTGTATCATCAGAGTCTATGGCTTTCATCAGATTCTCAGAGAGGTATGACCACCTTCCCCCAACAGCTAAAAATTACCTCTCTAAAATTCTGAGCTTTCATTTATCATTGATAATATCCTAAATTTCTCAGCATATGCTAATTATCTTGTATTGATATTTATCTTCTAATGCATACCTTTATATTGCCTTTTAACCAAATCATATACACACTCAAGCATAGGAATGACCTTGTTAAAAGTCTTTGTTTCTCAATTTTTTTCCTTAATACTAAAGTTAGAAGTGAATAAAAGTTGTATTTGAGTTCCTTACACGTGCTATACCATTCACTGTTCTAGCCTTTGGGATGCATCAGTAATCAAAAATTCCTCACTCATGGAGTTTATATTCTTGTAGGGAGAAAACTGAGGATAAACAATAACAGAGATTAACAGTAAACACAAATAAGTACATTGTATAGTGATTACTGCTAGGAAAAAGAAGTAGATCAAGGTAAGGGAGAT